TGTAACAGTGCTTGCTTATAGCAGGAACTCTGTATGTTTGTGTGCAACACCTTTGTCTGTTTCTTTGGGATAAACTTCCGTAAGTGGAAATGCAAGACCAAAGCTATTCATGCCCCAGCTGCACCCCCGGAAAAGCCACACCCACGTACCAGTGGGGCAGGTGCCCTGTTGCCTTGACACTTGCCCAGGATGAGTCTTATCAAGTTTTAAAACTGTGTAACCGATCTGAAAGGTGAACAGCCTCTTGCCGTTACAATGAGAATTTCTTCTACTACGAACAAAGCTGAGTATTTTGGCCCTATGCTTGTATTTCTTTTGTGAATTAACGTTAATCTCCGTGCTTCATTTTACCAGGAGTATCTCTCTCACTAATTTCCGAGCTGGGTTTTATACAATGGATTATGCGCCTTCCACCGCTTACATGATATAAATATGTTTTCTTTGTATGTAAAATTTTAAATGCATCTAAAACAGTAGCCGTTTCCTTTAGAGCCTCCTGCCTGCCTTAGGTGTTAAAATAGTCCTCCACGCAAAGACATAAATATTTCCCTACATTATCTTCAAGTTATTTTATGGTTTCCTTTTAATCAATCTAGAATTTAAACATGTGAATCTACGGTGGAAGTAAAAAACTGATTATATGAATTAAAATCAATTTGCCCCCCCTTATATACTAATTTACTCACTTTAAATAATATGAAATGTACCATTTTTATCATATAATACCTAAATATACTTCAGCCTATTCTGTTCCAATGATTTAAGTGCATATTCTTCCAGCTATATGACGATATTTTTTGGCTTCAAAAGCTTTTCTTATATAGCCTATGTAATTTTTTTATAATTAAAACTTCATTTGGGTTTAATAAAGCAACCCCTCTCCCTTCCTCCTCTCTTTCCCCCAATATTTTCCGACTGTCCTTATGAGTTTATAATTCCAGATGAATTTTACAAACATTTTATCAGTATAGGCATTTTTGATTAGAGTTACAGTTTTCGAGCATTTTATTTGGGCTAGTTAGGAAAATGATCTGGTTTTGTCGGTTATATTACCATACCTGGACCCTTTCACTTCTGATCACTTCCCAGTTCCTGGCTTTCTGGACAGGCCACAGTATAATCTGCAGACAGTGGTCATTTTTTTCTCTTTTTTTATGGCCAGTTTTTTCCCCTTGTCTTACTGCACTGCCCAGGCCTTACGACACCGTATAAAATGATAGTGGTGAGAGCCATAATTGTTCCTGAAATTAACAGGAAAGTCTCTGATGCTTAATTGTTAAGGACAACGTTTGCCATCTGTTCAAGGCAGTTACTGATGATCCTCTTGATCAGAAAGTACCCTATTCCTCGCTGAATAACCTTGAGAATGGATGTTTGATTTTATCAAATTAGAATTATTCTAGATGGAATCCCAAGCACGTGTCTACACAGCCCAGACATCACGAAGGAGATGAGGTTATACATACCTGCTGGCCTGCTGCCCTGACCCCACCAAGTTACAGAAGAGGACTAGCACCTTGTTCTCGCTATGGACGGGCAGGGACGACTGTGGACCCTCACGGGCTGCCAAGCGTGGGGAGACCGACAGACCAGATGGATGAGCTAAAGAGAGAGAATTATGTTTATAGTCTTAAAAAAATTAGCTGGGCCACAACCCTGGCTTCTCTAGCCACTTCTTCTCTTTGAGCATCTATCAACCACCATTGGGAGACACTAGAGTACTTTAAGGAAAGAGGTATTAAGGTACGAGGCACTTGTGCCATTTGGTACTACCTGGTACACGAAGATCATATACATGGTAGTGAATTTGCCATTGTGTTCAGCCAATAATAGTAAAACATGGGCAGGGATGTTAATGAAGGCTTCCCAAAGTTGATCCGAAAAATACTCCAAAATGATTTTGGTTGCTTTTATGCCTGGAACAGAGAGCCACAAGTTGGCTCTGGCTTTCTCAGTCCGCAGGAGAAGTACAGAGAGAAGGTGAGAACTCTTACCCTTGAGGCTGTGGAAGAATTAGACTCTCCTCAATTTCCAATCATTCTGAAAATCAGACTTTTAAAGCACAGGGGTGTCACCTTTGATTGAACTTGAAATGAGGGTCTTTTCATTGAACGAGGACATGATCAGGGCCAGTCAAGGCCCAGGGGCTCCCTGTTGACTCAGAGCAACCACCGATCTCTGGTTCCCACAGTCTGCCACTGAGGCTGGCTGAGGATATGGACCAGGGTACAGGATTCACCTGGGCTATATGTCAACACCAGCAGAGGGTCCTCCAAATAGGGGCCGCCTTCCTGACCAGAGAATTGGGCCAGAATATATACTGAACTGCAATCAGAGGCGGTCAGATACTGATCTTCTTGGCCAAGTTCAGGAAGTGGTACTGTTAACAAAAGTCCTTTAATAACCTCTTTGGCCATCTACTGCTCCAACTTGTAAACATTTGACTTCAAGCACAGACCTTGAACTACAAGAGTCCTGAACACAAGGATCGCCCTGAATAGTGATTCTCATTCTCAGAGGGTGTTTTCGGGACCAGCAGCAGCAGCATCCCCTGGGAACTTGTGAGACATGCAAATTCTTGGGTCCCGCCCCAGACCTACTGAACCAGAAACTCAGTGCGCAGGACCCAGAACTCTGTCTTAACAAGCTTCCCACATGATTCTGCTATTCATCAAGGTTTTGAAAACCCCTGACTGACTGAATAATGTTTAATCATCAACCACCTATACAGCAAACATCAGAGAAAATAAGCCTGACAGGTCCAAGTACCAAAACGAAACGTCTTACGCCTTAGCACACAAGGAGTACCCTCTCAAACGTGTAACTCATACTATCCCAATAAAATTATGCGAGGCACTACTGTACCTGAGAGCATCTTCTGGCCAGGTGGTGGGGGCGCATGGAAGGCATACACGTTATCTCCCTCTGAAATGGTATTCAGGTCCTCTTCATCAAAGAAAGACCGCTGGAACCCACTGGGACACAGTTCAACCAAGATCACCTGGAACGAGGAGGATCATTTTCCCTCTTGATTCCTCGAAGGGAACTTGAGCAAGAAATCTAAAAGTGACTGAGTCTCTTACCCTTTCCTCCCTTCTAAGTGAGAAACACTACTTATTAGTAGTAATAAAACAAGAGGAGGTGTAACAATTAGATTGACCACAGACTATCTCAATGGCAACAGAATCTCAAACTGCTGACGGAAGAGATGGGGGAAGACAATTGAGGGGGGAAAAAAAAACCCTCAAGTTTATACCCAGCTAAACTATCATGCAAGCACCAAGAATAAAATGAAGCTCTCTTCAGACTAAAAGTTAAGAGTGTTTACCATTTACAGATCTCTACTGAAAGAACTTCTAAATCGTTTTGCCAGCTTTTTTCACATCCTGGCATATGCGGTACATATTTTTATGGAACACTGAGGTAAGCAGAAGTTGCCCTCATAGCAGAGAAGAGAGGTGACCACCTTAAGGGTCCTGTCACCTCGGGCGCTGAAGGAATCGACATCTCAACACACCTGAGCCATTCAAGGCACAATGGCTGGGAAATTCTCTTGTAAGAGATACATTTCAGGGTTAAAACAAATAAACTGACTCCAGGAAAAAAACTTGAGTTGTAAGAAGAAATGATGGAGCCAAAGAAAATGGTAAACATTGGCAAATGTAAACACACACTGACTATATAAATCCATAATAATAACTCATACTAGTACTACAACCAGGAGGAAAGGGCAGGAGGGATTAAAATACTGGACAATAGTATCCATCCACAATAATAATCAAAAAGGTGGAAGGGAGATTAAAGCACACCAAGATCCTTGTGTCGTTTGGGAAAATTAACATAGGACTTTGCTAGTAATTCTGCATGTCGGCATTTTAAGGATAACCACTAAATAAGCACAAAATTAGAATATATAGGTCCCAAACCAGAAGAAATGGAATAAAAATTGCTCAAGAGAAAAGCAGCAGTAAAGGAGAGGGAAAGGAAACAAAGAAAAAGAAGGGTAAATGGAAAGCATAAAATAAGAAGATATAAATAAATCCAAATATAGTCACGGTCATAGATAACGTAAAAGGAATAACCCTGCCGGTTAAAATATCAAGACAGGTTTTAAGTTCCAATCAAAATGCCTACACATGCACTTAGGAATCCCTAAGTGACTCCTACCTCCCTGAACAAACACATCACACTTCGCAAATTCCTGACAATTCTTTGATTCTTGTAATTATTCAAACTCTATGTCACATCCCCATTTTGGCTTTTTTTTTTTTTTTTTTTTTACTGCCATTTCTTCCCCAAGACTCTCACCCACTGTCCTATTCTCTCTTGCTCTCTCAATATACCCCTGAAAAGAGAGCTTTGAGTTCACTGAGCAAGATACACACCTTTTTCCTCATATTCATTTTTTATGAATCCTCATAAACACAGTGATACGATTAGAGGCACCGACTGGGTGGGGGCAGGAAAAGCGCTCACACAGTGAGTAATCATGGTGGTTACATGTAAAAATTCAACAAACTATAACCTCAAGGCGTGTGCCCATTACTGTATGTGTGTTATTCCTCAACAGGAAGGCTAAAACAAATTTTTTTAATTTGAAAAAAAAAAATGCCATGAGGTCATCAGGGAAGTGTAAAATTTGCATTTTCTAGTTAAAGACACAGGGGACCAATTGCTTACTTCGACTAAGGTCACAAAACAGAAGAGCCCTATTCCAAACCCCTCCCATTACGCCACATGGCTGTTGACCACAGTCACCTCCCCTCTGCCCTTGCCTGGGGGCCCTGGTTAGGAGTTCTGCCCTCCACGTCACAGTAAATCCAACCTCTTTACCAAGACTCCTTAAAAAAAAAACAAAAACGTAGCACATAGTGCTCCCACTCTTTCCTAAACCACCTCTCTCGTGTTACACATCCTCAGTAGCTCCTCATGTTTCATTTACGGCCCCTTCAGTCTCCTGGTTTCTACTCTCAGGAGTGAAAATACAGAGCAGCGTCTCAGGCTCTGAAATCAAACCATCTGCATCAAATCCTGGGTCAGCGCTGCCTAGCTGTGTGACCCTGGGGCAGGTCACTTAAAGCTCTCAATGCCTCCTCTTTGCTCACTGATAAAAATGAGGGTAATTGGCATCGACTGTACAAGGCGGTTGTGAAGACTGAACTGGCTATGAATACCAAGGTCACAAAATGGCACCCAGCACTAGGGAAGCACTACTGAGCGTTCACGGTCATTGGAATTATTAGGATCGTGATCATCATCACGGTCTTCATCTTTTTCTGGTAATTCTGTGTAAATGCAGGGAGAGGTCAAGGCTCAGTCATCAAGACACCAATCAAACAGAAACTCATGAGTCACGAGGGAGTCACCTGGGAACCAGAAATCAGTCTACACAGCCCTACACAGCTGGCCCAGTTAGCATTCCGGCATTCAGTGACCAGGCCCCCGTGCCATTCCATCACACCTCATCCGCAGGGACGCCGCCTTCCTCTGCAACCATCTTCCTCAGGGCTGCCACTGTGCTGAGGATCGGCACGGCCAGGCCCACCCGCAGGAACCGCTGGTTCTTAGAGGGGAAGACCAAGGTGACGCTCAAGAATCTGGAAAATAGGAAGGCGTCCACATCCTTAAAGGACGGACATGAACTGTCAACACCATTGACACTGGGTCAAGCCCAACACTTGGGCTCCTATCTCTGCTTCCTGGTTGGGTCACTGTACCTTAGGTATACTGTCACCAGGTGGCAGCAGAGAGCCAAATCTCCAAAGGGTCTCGGCTCAAGTATAGTTTTCCACAGTGAAAAATTAAAGGTACTTAATGATTAAGAATCACAGTACAGACCTGTGATCTCAAGGTTCTGTTCGTTCAATAGATCACGGTAAGCCAAAACAAACTTGGAAATCTGAGATGTGAAAGGGTCAAGCTTCTTCTATCAGGGTTCAACACTATTGATGATGCCCTCCTTGTTGAAACTGCCCTTGGTCATAGGACACTTTCCCTTCTCCCCCTCCCCCCCAGGATCTCTCGTTCTACTTCCTACTGTCCCCACCAGCACACCGGGGCTCCCTCCTCCAGCTTCTGCTTCTCCTGCCCCTTCCTGCAACACTTGTCGGATTCACACAGCTCACTGCCACAGCTGGGACTGGAACCCCGGGCAGTCCAGCCCCAGAGTCAGGGGTCCCAACCCCTGTCCTCTGGCGCACGAGGCCAAGAATCTTAGCTCACATCCATCAGTAGGCATCCCCTGGTCGGGTCACCCAAGAAAGGAGAAGCCAGTGTTACGTGGATAGCACGGATGGTGAGCAGCGCAGGAACTGGGAGCAGAAACGGGGATTACGTTGCCAGGAAAGGCTTTATGAAGCTTTGGCTCTTCCACTGCATCCTAAAGATGGGGGATTGTCAACAGGCGGAGGGCAAGACAGATGGTATTTTCGGAGATGGAGAACACAAGGAAGAAATGCCACTGTCTCAAGACCAGTGTAGGACTCACCAAACTTCCATGACACTGACGTTGGCATCTGGCCTTAATGGCTTTAAGACCTCGGCTTCTGGAACGCCTGCCCTGTGTGCCTCTTAGGCTTAAAAAGCCGAGCCCACCACACCTCTCACCCGACCCTACTACCCTTCCCTTTTCTGTTTTTCTCCTCTCCTTCGACAACCCCTTCCCTTTTTCCTTTGCTCCTTAGAGAAACTGTTTCCCTGCACCTTCACAGTGAGCCAAAAGGACATGGAAAGAAAGCCGGGAAAAGCAGGTGGCGACAGGTCCCCCCCCCACCCCCGCCGCCAGATTTGCCTCTGGTTCTGCTGAGAGGTCCAGACCGGCCACCAGCCCATGCCGGCTTCTGAGCGGGCCCAAGACTTCGGAAGCCCCACTACAGCATGACAGACGGAGGCACCGTGGATAATTCCTTCGTCGGCCAGAGGAGGGACGCGGCAACCTTTTACTTTGTCACATTTGGTCGCCAAACATCACCAGCTTTCTAAGGCTGGTTTCTACAGAAATGCTGGTTGAGACTCACAAGAGACTGAGCTGCAGGCGCGAGGCCGTAAGGCACCCAGGGAGGACTAAGGACTGAGGGAGTCAAGTTCAGGCTCACGTACCTCGTCTGGCGCAGGGGGATGGGGAGTGACACACACAGGAAGGGGTCGAAGGTGTTGCTCTGTTTCAGGCAGTGGGGACAGGTCAAGGAAGATCTGTGAGGGAAAAAAATAAAGTTTCAAGCTGAATCACACTCAGTTTGGCAGATCCTCAAAAAGTTAAATATAAAATTGCCATGTGATCCAGCCATTCCCCTCTCAGATATGTACCCAAAAGGAGTTGAAAACGGGGATTCCTACAAGTACTTGTCCACAAGTGTTCACAGGAGCGCTATTCACAAGAGTCAAAGGGCAGACACAACCCGAACGTCCACCAGTGGATAACTGGATAAATCCACAAGAGGTAAAGCCACAAAGATGGAAGGTGGATTGGTGGCTGCCAGGTGCAGGGGAGGGATGGGGAGGGCTTAACGGGTATCGGGTTTTCTTTCGGGGTGATCAAAATGGTTAGGAACTAGACAGAGGTGCTACATGCCCAACACTAACGTACATGCCACGAAACTCTACGCTTTAAAATGGTTAGCTTTACTTTACGTGATTTTACCTCAATTTTAAAAAAAAGGTTTAGTCACACGTGGCAGTGCACGGAGTACGGGAAGGGAAGCAAAAACCCCGCGAGACAGAAACAGCGGGCCGCCTGGGTGGCTCAGTCGGTTAAGCGACTGCCTTCGGCTCAGGTCATGATCCTGGAGTCCCGGAATCGAGTCCCGCATCGGGCTCCCTGCTCGGCGGGGAGTCTGCTTCTCCCTCTGACCCTCTTCCCTCTTGTGCTCTGTCTCTCATTCTCTCTCTCTCAAATAAATAAATAAATTCTTTAAAAAAAAAAAAAAGAAACAGCGGGCCGACTTGCAAGCTGGAAGGAATCTTAGGACCATACCTTCCCCTGGTTCTCAGCTTCACTGTGCTCTAGAATCACAAAGGAAACTTTTCTAAAAATGCAAATGTCTCAGCCCTCCTCCCATAGAGTGGGGGGGGGGGGCAGGGAGAGGCTCAGGCATTGGTACATCAACGGCTCCCCAGACACCGGGTTCAGCCACGATGCAGAACCACCAAAGGAGTCCACCCTCCTCATTGTACCAGTAAAGCAACAAAGCTTGGAGTAAAGCAGCTAATAGTAAAAGAGCTAATATCGAAACAGCGTTTACTAAGAAGTGGGCATTATTCTGGACCACTGGGCTTGTATTAACACACTTAGTACCCATAACCACCAGTATCATCCCCGTTTTGCAGAAAAGACTGAAGCACAGAGAAGTTAAGCAACTTTCCCAAGGACCACACAGCGCTTAAGTGGCAAAGCTAGGCTCAGGTTCCAGAGTCCGCGCTCATCACCATTCCTCCAGAGTCTTTAGTATAAGCAGATGAAGCATTGATTGTTTCAGAGCAGATATACACACAGTTGACTTACATTCTTTAAACTTTCAAACTCACCACTCCCTTACTTAAGAGCATGTTGTCCCTGAAAGTAAAATGCAATTTTTATATTCCACATGGGGACTCCAGTTTAATTTCCTTAACCATATGACAGACCATATTCTTCCAAGACATAAGGGATTTCCGGATGCTATGTGTGCATCCTGAAAGCCACACGGCCTTCTTCCTTGGGAAAATGGACCACCACCCAGCTGAGAGTCATGCTCCTATATGACAGTCAGCAAGGAAAATGGAGCTGGTATCACACCCAGGTTTCGAGTCCCTGCGGGGAGTCCAGCTGGAGTGGTTTTCCCGCTGAGCAGAGAGAAAGGGAAAAACCAGGGACAAGCAAGAAACCCTTAGGTTTTCAGGGTGCTGGCCAAGGCGACCCTAAGCGAGCTGGCCAGAGCAGGTCAGCTCCCCGGGGGACAAGTTAACAGCACGCCATCCATGACTTTAGGCAGCAGACCTGAGTACTGAATGTCCAATAACTTGCTGCTTCTGGTAATTTTCCCATTGGGAAAACCATGGTAATGTGTGGGTAAAAATGGTGTTATCAGACGCCGAGCTCCAGGTGGTAGGGAGACCTGATGGTTGTGGGGTGCCCTCTGCCACCCTTTCTCCCAATTCTTCTCCTACCTTCACCCATTGTGTACCTGAGAAAGCCTAACAGGGATTGCCGCCTGTCATGGGGACCAGACCAGACTTTCTGTGGATAAAAGCCACGAATGACAAAGAAGTGAAAACACGCATGCACGCACACACGTACACCCTCCCGTAGCCCAAACTCCAACGTAGCACTGATCCTTGGTTATTAAACTCACCGATGTTTTTAGGTTGTGGTAATAACCATATGGAACAACCAATTATTTCTCCTCTAGTCCATAACCTAGTCCAGCACCCTGACCCCATCCCTCCTTCTCTCCTCCAGCCAAAGTCAAAAACCCGACACCCTAAAAAGGAGGGGAGGGAGAACCTCAGTGAACAGGGGTCTCTGAATTAACCCACAATAAATCCCCCAGCTTCCAATTTCATACAGAAGGGCTGACACCACGGTGACTTTCCATCGCTGGGCCCACCGGCCACCCCGGAAAATCACTTCCCACAGCTCAGAAGCCCTCACCTAGACAGACATCCCTAACTCGATTTTTTCTTTGCTCCAGACGATCCGGCACAAAGCGGGTATTTTTAGCTGTCACTGGTTCCTTTTTGGAAGCTTGAACACCTCTCTTCTTACTCATCCTCCTGCAGGAACCTACCCGAAGGGCGCTTGCAATCCTGAATATCGGATCGGCTTCGGATCGGCTTAAACGTCCCTTCCTCAGGAATCCTCCCGACTCACCCCACACCAGTCAGAGACCGTGTGCTATTTTGACTTATAATGAGAAATATGTATTTGGTCTTTGTCCCAGTTCCTAGCATGGAGCTCCTAAAGCCCTTGGAATTACCTAAGGGATTGATGGCAAAAAGGTCCTTTTGTCATTCATAACAAGCCCCAGACAACCAAACGCGGGAGTTCTGTTCATGAGGTGGTTTTGAGATGGCCCCTGGATCCTGGAGGATGGGGGCTGGTTGCCAGGGGAACCGACCTGGGATTAGAGGGTTGGCACTTTCAGGGGAGGAAAGGGGCACCAGAGGTTGAGTTCATCACTAAGGGTCAATGATTCAATCAGTCACAGGTAGGTAACGAGACATACATGAAAACCGTAGCAGGAGGGGTTTGGAGAGCTTTGAAGCTGTGGAGGGGAACCCCTCCCATACACCTGGCCCAGCGCAGCCCATCCCCGCTGTTCCTGAGTCGTATCCTTTTATAACAAATTGCTAATCCAGTGAGTAAATGGTTTTCCTGAGTTCCGTGAGCAGCTCTAGCAAACTACGGAACCTGCGAGGGGGTTGGGGGAACCTCTGATCTGTAGCCGGCCAGTCAGAAGCACAGGTGACAATTTGGGACCCGGGGATCGGGGGTGTGGTGGGGGAGCAGTCTTGTGGGACTGAGCGCTTCAGCGTCGGGTCGGAGTTACACTGCCTCCGGTCCGTGTGCACAGATGACCAGTGTCGGGTGGGAGTTACATTGTAGGACACCCCATCCCTGTGTGCGCAGAGCCGAACAGCCTGGTGTGGGGAAAGCACCCTGCGCCCACACATCTGGGGCCGGCAGGTTTGTAAGCACGGTAGGAGGAGAGAGTGTAAAAGAAAACAGGTTTTTTTCCTTTCACACTGGTAACAGGCACCTCAAAGCACCTGCCAGCTACATAACCCTATAAAAACCCAGGAGTCACCCTAGCTTCTCCCCTTTCCCTCAGTGCCTCCCCCTTGCACCTTTAAAGTCATGAGCAATGCATCTGGCCACCCCTGGATCCCAGGCACCCTCCCTCTCCCACAGTCCCTCAGCCGCTCCAGCCTCCCTCCAGCCCCCAAAAAACCACCAGCGTGATCTCTGAAACTGAAAAGGATACCACACCCAGCTTCAGATTCTGCAGCAGCTTCCTGTGCCCTTCAGACAAAAACCCACACCTGGCCAGGACACCTGCCCCGTCCACCGCTCCAGCCGTACCTCCCGCCTCTCCCTCCCTGGCAGCTACCTTGCCCTTTCTGTCCCTTGTGGTGCCAACGTCATTCCAACCCCAGGCCCTTTGCCTCGGCCATTTTCTCTGCCTGGATGACCTGTCCCCAGATACGTGAATAGCTGACCCCTTGTCACTGGGTTCTCGGCTCAAATGTCCCCCCCCCCCAGAAAAGAAGCCTTCCCGGACCACCTTATCTAAGGCTGGCTGCCTCCCCCACACCCCGAGCTGTGTCTTATCACCATCACGAGCCACCGTGATGTGTGTGATGTGTTACGGAACACCTGCCCCAGCAGAACGTGAGCTCCATGAGAACGGGGGCCAGGCCTTGTTCGCAGCTCCCTTGCGGTGCCGAGAAGGCAGTGGCCCGTAGCAGGTGGAATAGTAAATATCGAGGGCGTATCTGGAATTAAATATCCAGAGACCACGCAGGGGTATCTGGTTGGTATTTCTCACTCGTGGGCAAGGAGTGATGCTCCTCGCTGTACCCAGTGGACCGAGCACAAGCGCAGACGCTCAAATATTGGGAAGAAGGTTAGAAAGTGAGCATGTGTACCCAGGAGGGGGAGTGGGCAGCGAACGGGATGAGCCGAGAAATAAGAAAATGGATTGTACAAAGATACCGAGTGGTACCTAGCGGCAATTCTTGGTGTCCCTGCCCCTCAGTCTAACCTACCCTGACCTTAAACTCCTCTTATGTTCTTTCTCCTCCTCTCTTCTTCTCCTGTCTCATTTTTGTTTCAAGCAGCCTCCGCTCTGGGCACCTGCAGATAAGTAAGGCCGATGCCCTGCGCGTAGCTTTCGTGGCTAGAGAAGGTCGGCAGCCGTGAAACCGAGGTTCACTCTGTGCGTGCCACCGCGGGAAGGAAGTGGGTCTTACTTCGTGCACAACCGTAACACCTGGGCTCATTTCGAAGAGTTTTTACATCCCCAGTATGCTAAACTACCAAGGGTAGCGTGTCACCAAAAGGAGGCTCTCTGTAACCGACGGCTTCCCCAAAATTCTATTACGCTCATTCCCATGTGTGAGCAGATTCCGTGCTTGCTGAAGACGCTCCCCCCTTGTTCAATCCTAGTCAGCCTTCAGAGCCCATCAAAAGGCATGCCTCCTCCGAGAAGCCCAGGGGGGTTTCCTCCCCCGTTGCCCTCTCTCACTGCCTTGACTAAATCATCATAGTCCTGGGAATATGCTTCCTTATCCGAATCCCTGAACTGTCATATATATAAAAGCCCAAAGAGAACGTTTCTGAAGTCAAAGGCGGCGTAATTATGTACGTATTTTCCACGTCGTCCACGATGCTGGGAAATCTTGAACTTGAAAGAACTTGGCGATCTGGGTTCTCTGGCTGCAGGAACGAACGAGAACGATTGCCCTGCCTGCTGGGGAAGCCCTGACCTCCACAGTCACGCTCTAGAACCCCCTGGGGTTGGGATGGGAGGCCCGGGAGCCAGCAAGAAGGTAGAGAAGAAACGCTAACTGCCAGAGCCGACAGGAATGAGTGGTTAACTGGGATCTATAATGGGAGAGAGAAGGGTGCTTGTGTTTCTGTTGTCTTGTCATCAATAGGAGACCGGTTATCAGCATACGAGTTTGGGCAACCCATTCCAAGCCCATCCATCCCACTCTTACCTAGATGCTTACCTATATTGTGCTTGAAAGTGGCTCTGCACAAAGCTTTGGCCTAGAGAAAGCTGAGCCGATGGTGACGGGAGGTTCTCGGGGGTTCTGCTGGCTTCAGGCTGAGGCTGCAAAGAAATGAGGGAAGGAAGCAAGGTTAGGCCCGGCCCTCGGGGCTCCAGCACCTCCGGACCACTGAGCCCTGGCCCTTCTGTTGACTTTCCACAATTCACGACCTCCAGACTTCCCAAACTCCCCCCGACGGAGAAGGTGCTGAGGGAGCAGAGCTGAAGCAGGAAGCCTGGGAATGCTCCCACATCCTTGGCCACCTCCGCTGTGACCTCTGTCTCGACTGTCCTGTTCACATCTCCATCCTGCTGGGCCCCGCGTGTCGACGTCTCCTGTATCTCTCACCGGGCAGGCTGCTAGGCTCTGAACACCTCCGCACCACATCTCCCTGCTTCCACCACCCCGCCCCATCCGCATCTCCCTGGGAGCCCTCTGCACACAAGCACCGGGCACACGAGGCTTCGCTCCTTCACCCCACATCAGTCCTACTGTGCCCCTTTGCATCTTCTTCTGTACGCGCTTTCTGGTGCTCCTGCAGCAAATTCGCACACACCGGCAGCTTAAAACAAGCAGAGATGTATTCTCTCATAGTTCTGGGGACCAGACACGTCCAAAATCAGCATCCCCAGGGCACAAACAGGGATGCGGAGGCTCTGGGGGAATGCGCCCCTTGCCTCTCCCGGCCTCTGGTGGCTGTGGGAATCCCAAGGCTGGTGGCCCCGTCACCCGAGGCTTGACAGCCAGCATATTCGAAGAGCCAGGAGAAAGGAACGCGCATGAAGTGCGTGGGTGAAGCATGCCAACGTCTGAAATGTCGATTGAAAACGCATCGCGAAGCAGTAAGAGAAGGAAAACCATAGAGTGAGGAGTATATAGATGGACAAATACAGGATAATGCAATTTTAGTAAAACGTAAATTGTAGAGTCTAGGCGGTGGGCAGGAGGTATTCACTGTATCATTCATTCAACGTTTCCATCTGTATGGAATTTTCCGTAATAAAAGACTAGGGCAAATACTCAGGATGGAACATTCTCATTGGCCCCGTGGTTTTGTGAAGCTCAAGTCGACCAGCACATACATGAGTGAAGGAAGGTGGAAAACGGGGCCACGCTTGGGGGGGGGTGGGCCCTTCCGTGACCTAAAGATGACCACCCAGTTCAGTAAATAGCACAGAAGCAGGATTGAGAATCTGCCTCTGGACTCCGGCGGCCAGGGTCCCAATCCCTCCGAAAGGGCACTCCTCTGGGAGCGCTGCCCAACCTCTGAGCCAGCCAAGTATGTTCCTTAACCCCTTGGCCCCCCAATTTCCCGGCTTCTAGAAAGGGATGCTGAATGACAGTGCCTACCTCAGGGGGAGGTCCTGAGATTCAGAGTTGACATACATGTAACACTCAGAACAGGGAGCACGGCCTGTGGTTGCCAAGACACGGCGGGGAGTATCCGATGGGTTTCGAACCCATGTGGTGGCATCACGCGTGGAGAGATGCTTCAACTGATCGCCGTGCGCAGGAGGCAGGAGGGCGTTTCCGGGGAAAGGACACAGATCAGGAGGCTCGAGGGCCCGGGGCACAATGGGAAGAGCTGGAGAGCGAGCCATGAGCACAGGAAGGGGGGATGGACTCAAGACGCCCTGTGTCCGCGGCGCACAGCGGAACACTCAGTGGGGCAGCAAAGGAAGGGGTAAGGGACAAGCAAGACAGCTCCAAGCTCCCATCTGGTGCCCGGAGAATGCATGTCTTCCGTTAGCGTAGGAGGGGAAATCGAAGGCAGAAGTGGGTCTGGGAAGGGCACGCCAGAGTTTGAGGAGACGGGGTGGACCCTGGATGCAGAGCGGACACTGGGATTTGTGGCTGCGCAGGGCTGAGGCCCCTTCCTTGGTCACGGCGCCCCTTCTGGAATACTGAGCCCGGTCCATGGGGAGGTGGGGAAGCTCTTTAATCGGGGGTCCCGCCCTCCCTTCGCAAGGGACAGCCACGTGACCCAAGTGAGACTGATGGGGTGGTCCAGGTGGGCCTGCCCCGTGAATCACGAGCAGAGTGACCAAAAGCCTGAAAACACGGATTCCAGCAGCGGTGTCTGGTTCAGAGTCCAGCAGTTTCTGCCACTGTGAACCAGCGCCCCCAGCCCTCACCCCCCTCCAAGTGCTGTCTGATTCTCGCCGGGTCCAAGCCTGGTTCTCGTCTCCCCTCTGATCCTGCCTGCTACCCCTCCACCCTCTCTCCAGTCATCTGAAGTGGGTTGGCGTTGCTTGCAGCCAAAGACCTCACAATGATACAGGTGCTTCTGCACCCGGGTGGTAACGTGGGGGGGGGGCCGGGCGTGGTGGTGGGCAGGATCGCCCAGGAGCGGGTACAGAAGGAGAAAATCCCGAGAGGCAGTGGGGTCATTCGAGAAGCGTGGACCAGGGGATCCGGCCAGGCTGGCTCCACTCTGCTGGCCAAGCGACCCCGGAAATCTCTCTGAGCCTCATTCCACGTCTAAAAGGAACAGGAGTGGGGGCGCCTGGGTGGCTCTGTCGGTTAAGCGTCTGCCTTCAGCTCAGGTCATGATCCTGGGGTCCTGGGATCGAGCCCCACGTCGGGTCTGCTTCTTCCTCTCCCTCTGCTGCTCCCCCTGCTTGTGCTCTCTCCCTCTCTTGCTCGGTTAAATAAATAAATAAAATCTTAAAAAAAAAAAAGATAGATAAAAGGAACAGGAATGTCACATCCATCTCACGAAGGCACCATTAAAATTAAAAAAATTATGTGTGTGTCCTGCAAGGCACACACTAGGTGCTTTATAAATGGTAGCTTCCTGGTCCTCTCCCCCCACCCCCTCTTGTTCTTGATTCTACAAGAGTGGCAATTCCTGGAAAATTAACTGCCCAAAAGATTGCCTACGTGAAGCTGTCTATAGGATGGTAAAAATATGCCCTTTTCACCGGATGAAATCATTTGAGAACCCATCCGGATGACAGAGAAGAAAGTGATCCTTACGTTTCCTCTTCCAGTTTCACATACATCTAGCTACATAGCCTTCACATGTTTTGAAACAGAAATAACCTCAAAAAGAAAAAAAAAAAAAAAAAACGCTCAGTGACAGAGGACAGTGCTTTTCCTCCCTGGGTAGGAAAAATGAAGTTTTGTGCCGGGTCTGGCTTTACCTTCAAGCGTCCCCAGCCAGGCCTCCGCAGGTGGCCCAATTTTCTGACAGCAAATTGCAGGAGATGCTTCCACCCCAGGTGGAGAAAAAGATCTTTTCTGGTCTCAATCAGGTCAAGCGAAGAGCCGGGCAAGCTCCTCTCTGTGGCCAACAGCCACCCCACCCCCCGTTCTCGCCTGGGTCTTCAAGGCTTGGCCCGTACAAGGAACAGAAAGCAGCCAGCATGGCCCAGAACAATGAGCAAGGGGCAGAGGGGCCTGAAGGCAGGCGGAATGGTTGGCAGGCCCGGTCAGAAGTCTGGATTTTGTTTGAAGTACAACAGGAAGCCACGGGAGAAATTTAAGGAGAGTGACATGATCTTTTTGTCCTTTCTCAAAAGGCATCTCTGACTTCAGTGTGGAGAACATCTAGCAGAAGGACGCCTTGGATACTGGAAGGCCAACTATGGCTGCTTTTATGGGCGTCTGTCCTCAGGTTGGTGAGAACCATTACTAGCAGGTCCTCTCGGCTTAAAGAGACTCAATGTTGAAGAAAGGCCTGGGGGCGGTGTACTGTGCTTGGGAGCAAGGGCTCCAGAGCAGAGGGTCTCAACCAGTGGGTGCTTTTGCCCCCCAGGGGACACTGGTTGTCAATCACAACCGGGGGAGGGGTGTCACCAGCATCCTGTGGGTAGAGGGATACTGCGGAGGCCACATTGCACGGGACGGCCCCCGCAGCAAAGAATTACCCGGCCCCAGATATGGAACGTGCAGAGTTTGAGAAACCCTGCTCTAGAGTCCCATTTCCTGGACGTGGATCCTGGCCCTCCCACGTACTTGCTGTGTGACTTGGGGAAAGTTACTTAACCTCCCTAGGATCTGCCCCACCCGTAAGCCCAATACCTCTTCTGTCCCCGAAAGGAAGACCGAAAGGCAATATGCAAAGCTGTCTAGCCCCCTGCTTTGCAGGCAGGAATTGCTGCCTAGCACAGCCAGGGAGGGGGAGGAAGGTAACACAGAACGAGAGGCTTTTCCTGGCCAGAAGAAAGGGGCACCACAAGTCTAGTAGTCTCCTCTCACCCCTGCACGGTGATAAGGAAAGGGATCCAGCCGGGCTATGAGACGGACTCCAGATCGATTCTATTTCCCCCAAATAGAAGTTGGGTGACCTTGGGCAACTTCCCTAACTCTTCGTGAACTATACAACATGAGCTAGCCTCACAAACACTACAGCAGGATAGCTACATAACGTATTCAACCATTCAAGAGTTTATTGGATGTCGCTTATGTGTCAGTAGTGAAATAAGTCACAAAAAGCATCAAGCGGGATGTGTGGCACAAAACGAAAATTCAATACACAGTATCTTTTTTAAAAATACATCATTCTGATTTCAAAATGTGTTCACTGTAAGATTATGGAAATACACAGTGGACATAGTTTTGGTGGGCATAGTTTTCTGCTTAGCATTCTTCTCTTTGGAGAAGCAACCCAGCCCAAATACTCTAAAGAAGATGCTGAGTACTGGGCGTCTGGGTGGTGCAGTCAGTTAAGCGTCCAACTCTTGATTTTGGCTCCGGTCATGATCTCGGGGTCATGAGATCAAACCCCGCAATGGGCTCCACACTGGGCGTGGAGCCTGCTTAAGATTCTCCCTCTCCCTCTGCCCCTCCCCCCAGCCCCCACTTGTGCATGCCAGCACGCTCTTCTCTCTCGCTCTCTCTCTCTCTCTCTAAAAAAAAAAAAAAGACTAAGTGAGCACTGTAAAGGCTCCTCTCGCCACCATGTGTGCAGAGCCAGTCTGAGAATGAAGCCAACAAGAAACAAAGAGCCGAAGACCTGGGGGCATCATCTGAGTCCCTGGATCCAGCCTTACCTGAAGCTGGTACAAGTCTTGAATTCCAGGGGAAAAAAAGAAAACCAGATATGACATGGTGTTTCATGAGTGACCCACCTTCTCGGACCCTGGTCCTCGGGACGAGCCCTCCAAGTCCTCGTGCACCCGATCCAGCAACCAGAGCAGGAACTCCAGGGCGTCGTGCTGGGCATTGCCTTGGAACTGAGAGCCATACTTGGAAACAGCATTCTGGGAGGAAAGTAGAAAACCAGAGGGTCAGTTTGGCCCCGCGAACAACCAAGTTGGGACCTGCAAGCACCACTGAGCCCTGAGTGGGGCTGACAACATGGAAACAGCGTGGGCTGAGAACGTTCCGGCCTGCACCTGCTGATCTATGTCCTGTCCTTTGGAAACCCACGGGGCTGTCTCAGGTGAATATCTGGACGTTCTTGTCCCTTGATGGCGAGGGTGCTTGCTTCCCTGGCCGCCTCTATCAATCTATCTCTATCCCTGGCACTCAGCTCCCACCACTGGTGGAAGCATCTTGCCCTACTCTCTCCCTCAGTGACTCATTCACTCCCGTGGCTTCGGCGCTCTGTTTGAGAAAGACCGCAGGGCGGCGGCATGGTGAACTGTTAGGGCCACTCTTAGCATTTTCTCAAGCACCTTTCCAGGGAACTTTTTTTTTTTTTTTTTTTAAATGCATGTGCAAGCATGAGCATCTGAGAGTAAGCAAATCCCCTTGTCTGCGTGTTTGCAAACATGCAGGTGCACACACAGTATACTGTGGTTATACCCCTGCCCCTGCCGCCCCGGCCCCTCTTGGAGGCAGCCAGGCATCAAGCCCCACCCTGTCCTGGGAGCTGTCTGAGCTGTGGCCTCAGATGATCCTCACCACTACTGCCAACCAAATCAAAACAGCTTGGGCTTTTTCCTTCTTTAATCCTTCCACTGGGATTTAAAGGAAACTTTAGGATATGACAAAGCACAATTCGAGACTGAATTAGCTGAAATACTGGCTCGGAGTCTTTATGCCTGTCACTCCAGTTCGGGGTTCACTGGAGGATCTAGTTTGGATTCTTCCTCCAGGTTGCTTTGTTCTTTGACCTCCAAGTAGGGCTGCCAGATCTCGCAAATTAAAATACAAGGGGCTTAGTTAAATTTGAATTTCGGATAAGCAATGACTGCATTTAGTATAAGTATGTCCCATGCAGTATTTGGGATATATTTACACTAAAAAGTTATTCGTTGTTTATTTGAAATTCAAATCTAACTGGGCGTTGTGTTTTTTACCCAACGCCTAGCCATCCTCAACATCCCACTCTATCTACCCTTGGTAGCAGCATTCTCTCTCTGGGGGCAGCAGCCGCCTCCAACTCAAAATCTCCAAAACCTGCTCTTCCTCTGAACATCAGTGTCCTTCTTTCAGATTCTCTCTTGAACCCACGTTGGTCAGTGCCACCATTCTGGAATCTGGGTCCCAATCTGTCTCTGTGGCCCCTCAGCAGAAACCCATTCCCACCAGAGTCCTAACTGCAGCAGATCCACATGATAGTACCTTCCCGGCCCCGGGACACAGCCCAGCTGGGTAACTTCATGCCTCCACTCAAACCTCCCCTGACTCACCACCTAACAATCCACCCTCCTCCCATCTGGCCCCGTCCCCGTCTTTCACCACCTTCCCACGTTGTTTGAGAGCTCCAGCCAATCCAGCCTCTCAGATGCCCCACACCTTTATTTTCCATTTCTACAGTCTACACCTTGATGTTTTCTTCCTTCCACATGTACCCCATTCCCCTCCTGCAAATCATGTTAATCCTTTGAGACGGACGCTCTTCATTTTAGCCTGGCTGGGAAGCCATACAACCCTTCCTTCCAGAAAGAATGTGAGAATTTCAAGACAGACAGACAAACAGGATACGACCTTGGAAATGTCCTTCTATAGAAACAGAGTTAATTCTGCTTTGGGGGATTTGGCATAAGGAAATGAGAGCTAAGAGCAAAGATACTGTTAAATACTGAAGTCTCCGGGGGAAGACTTACAGCACACTCAGCTGGCCTTAAAAATTATGCTTGAGAAATAATGAGAAGAAAATCAATGATCCTATCAATTTTTTTTAAAGTGCAAAAATACCTACTTGAGCTATGGAGATATATATATATATATCTAACAATAGATATATAGATGATTGTTATATATATATATCTCCATAGCTAGAAAAGCCCAGAAATACATGGCAAAATATTAACAAATGGTTATCATTGAAGGATGGGACCGTAAACTGTTTGTTTGTTTTTTTTTATTTGTACCCTGCAAAATTTTTTTACAGTGAATTTTCTTCTTTGGTTTTTTTCTGATTAGAATGGTCTCTGGCAGGTATCTGTACCGAGTTTGGGCTTTTTCAAAATAACATGACCTACTGATTCCTAACAGAAGACACTCACACAGAAAGTCTATGAAAATGTGACTGGAGCTGTATTAAAGCGAAATCCTCCCTTGGGAGAGATGGGCAGAAATATCTGGTCCTTCTACCCTGCAACCTGACATAGCTCTATCTGCGTGGGCATGTGCGTTTCTCTCAACACTGAATTTTTAACCCATCTCTTACAAAATTATTCCTAATTATTTCCTATTTCTGGGGGTTTTCGTGAATGAAATCTAACTTTCACACGTTCTAAATGGTGATTGCTTTTGATTTTCTATCTTGATTCTGACCTGGTAAGTGACCGCGATAATGCTACAATAGGGATTTCTAGACCCATCTAGCAATTTCCTTTCTGTTCAACCTTTTTTATCCCATTTCCATTTCGTGTCTTACTGTTTCATCCAGAACTTCCAAAATACCACGTGAAGCATACTGTAGGTCTAAAATTGTACGTCTAAAAGTGATGCTTAAAGGGGCGCCTGGGTGGCTCAGTCGGGGTTAAGTGACTGCCTTCGGCTCAGGTCATGAACCCGGGGTCCTGGGATCGAGCCCCGCATTGGGCTCCCTGCTCGGCCGGAAGCCTGCTTCTCCCTCTCCCACTCCCCCTACTTGTGTTCCCCCTCACGCGCTCTCTGTCAATTAAATAAATAAAATCTTTAAAAAAATTTTTTTAAACAAATAAGTAAAATAAAAGTGATGCTTAAGTACATAAGCTAAGATAAACTCCAGATGCTGAAATCCTTAATATAGCCATGGGAAAACTAGAAATACATAACATAGAACCTTTATCAAAAGGTATGATGTAAATAAATCTACAATTTCCAGGATTGGGGATAGGAAGGAGAGAGTTTGCGGAAAATATCTGTGGCAAGTATGAGGGTTGAGGAACTTACAGAACAAGTAAAAAGAGCGTTGAGATCAGGCAGAATGGACAGTCGACATGGACAGGAAAATCCAGGTGCGGTCTCACTAGTAAAGAAGCATAAAAAACCTGTACCTCACTCTTAATTGAAGAAATAAAAATAAAAGTGAGATGCTCTTTCTTTTTGTTCAGTGAGTTGAAACATTACACTTGCTGAAGATTAGCCTTTAACCGTTCCCAACACTGGAAAAAATGATCACTGTGTGACCCAGGATAGAGATATTATCTAATGCTAAACAAATCAATCATATTGCAACATAAATGTATCAAATCAACTCATTGTATACCTTAAACGTACACAACATTGCATGTCAGGGATAGCTCAATTTTTTTAAATGGGTGCACTGCACGGGACATGAGTTATACCTCAACAATGGTGATTCAAAAAGAAAAAAACACGTAAAAATAAAACAGTCCCATTGTTGCTTGGACCACGTTAAGTTCACGTCAAGGGATCAAATTTAGGAAATGGTCAGAGCTGAGGACAATGATTTAAGTACAGGGATTTTTCAATAGGGTGATAACTAGAAACTTGTACAGTAAATGCCTCTGCAGGGACTGGTTCATTGAAGGAATTATTATGCAATCATTTAAAATTAAGTTTTACAGATGTTGTAATGGCCAGGAGAGAGCCTTATGACAATATTTACATGAAAAATGCAGGATACAACACTGGAATTTCCAACATGTAGATGCTCTGAAACACAGCAATGCTTCTGAAGGTTGTCTCTGGAAGATGGAGTTCCAAATCACTTTTTTCATTTTTAGCACCTTCTGAGTTTTTATACTATGCACGTATTTAATGACATCATTAGAGAAGCAAAGTGTCATAGGTAATTCCGTGGGCAGGATTTGTTTTGATGTATTTATTCACGTGCTGTTAAAACAGAGCGGTCCTGCCGTCTACAGGCGGAGTGTCTGGGAGGTCAGGAAAGAGGACACTGGAAAGCCAGCCGATTTGCATGGCTGGGGTTGGGGTAACTCGCTCCAGCATGCTGGGCCCTTCTCCATTCCCCCCTTCCTTGGTCTGAAGCTACCAATCCCTCCTCAAGACCCAACTCCTTGACAAAACCTGTGGCTTGTCCCCAAACAATCCTCCAGTCCCTCCGCCCAGGCACAGAGGCTCCCATTAATTAATTAATTTTTTAAAAGATTTTATTTATTTGATAGGAAGCGAGCGTGAGGTGGGGGGGGTGGGAGAGGTAGAAGCAGACTCCCCACTCATCAGTGAGCCCCATGAGGGGCTGGATCCCAGGACCCCAGGATCATGACCTGAGCCAAAGGCAGAGGCTTAACCGACTGAGCAACCGCAGAGCCCCTTCCGTTAATTTTTTTTTTAAAGATTTTATTTATTTATTTGAGAGAGAGAATGAGTGAGAGAGAAAGAGCATGAGAGGGGGTAGGGTCAGAGGGAGAAGCAGACTCCCCGCTGAGCAGGGAGCCCGATGAGGGACTCGATCCCGGGACTCCAGGATCATGACCTGAGCCGAAGGCAGTCGCTTAACCAACTGAGCCACCCAGGCGCCCCCCCCCCCGTTAATTTATTTAATCTTGCATTTATGCTGCCCCGCCCACAGAGGCCCCTCAGCTCCACCTGCCCTGGTGATTGGTGATCCTGGTGATCAGTGATCGGCAGGGAATGCACATCCCCACCCTCCCCTCTCCTTACTTGACCTCTCCTGAAGTTTGCTTCTCCTGGGACACCCCCTCCCACGTTCCCCCCATCCATCACCTGCTCCTGCCAGAAGTGCTGTAAATGCCTTGTATTGATGGTTCAGCACTTGTCACCAGCTCCGATCACGTGCCTGTGTGATCATTTCATTAACACCCACCTCTCCCGCTGGACGGGGAACTCCTAGAAAGCGGCCCCAGGAGGTTTTGCACTCAAGGCTTCTCAAGCATTCCTTGTTCCTGGGAGAGCGTTGGGACGCTCCAGAAATATTTGTTGAGTGAAGGGATGTTTCCTCATCTATAAAATAAGAGGAGCCCACCTAGATTTCCATCAGCAGGGTTTATTGAAAGCCCAGATGCTGGCCTCCTCTGCTCCCTCCAAGCTCTGGCTACCCAAAAAGTCCCAAGAAACCTTGGATGACATCATCCTCATTAACAATTAACAATCTGACTATCCTCCAGTCCCCCGGGGCTCCCAGGGAGCTTCCAGGCCTTGGGGATTCAAGAGCATGGCTGAGATAGGAAATCCTAGGGAGTCACTGAGAGCGGTTACTAATTTGGAAGATTTTTTTTCAAGCTACTCCAGTCTTTCCCACTGGGGCAGGACCTGCGTGAGAATGCACCGGGCAAGAGAAAAAGTATGCAAACATTACCTCCCTCCCTCCCTCCCTCCCTCCCTCCCCCGGGTCTCTGTAGGTGAGAAGGCTGAATGGTAGGAATGACAAAAGCTTCCTAGGGGTCAGGCACTGTTCTAAGCGCTGTGCAGAGAACTCCTTGAATCCTCCCAATGATCGGATAATAAGGTAGGTACCGTTGCCGTCCCATTTCACAGAGGAGGAAAGCTGAGGCACAGTGGGATTTGGTAACTTGCTCGAGGTCACAAGGCTCCGGGGACCTTGCTCTTAACCACTATCCCCTACAGTGGTGCCCCACATCCTAAGTCTTCTGTGGTTTCAGGTATTCGCGGTCAAACCTTGTAGGGAAGCAGACGATCCTCCTGACTTAGGTCAGAAGATCAACTGTGTGTCAACGCCTACAACCCTCGCCTCTCCTGGCCTCATCACGTAGGCATTTTATCACCTCGCATCCTCGCCAGAAGGGTGAGTACAGCATATAATATTTGCAGAGGGAGACACCACATTCCCACAGCTTTTATTACGGTGTATTGTTACAACTGTTCTTTTTCTTTCTTTCTTTTTTTAAAGATTTTTATTTATTTATTTGAGAAAGAGAGAGAATGAGAGGCAGAGAGCACGAGACGGAAGAGGGTCAGAGGGAGAAGCAGACTCCCTGCTGAGCAGGGAGCCCGATGTGGGACTCGATCCTGGGACTCCAGGATCATGACCTGAGCCGAAGGCAGTCGCTTAACCAACTGAGCCACCCAGGCGCCCCACAACTGTTCTTCTTCTATGGTTAGTTACTGCTGTGCATCTCCTCCAGTACCTGACTTATGAATTAAGCTTTACCGTAGGTATGGACGTGTGTATAGGAAGAAACATAGTATTTAGGTAGGGCTTGGTATTTATCTGTGGTTTCAGGCACCCACTGGGGGTCTTGGGATGTATCCCCCAAGCATAAGGGGGGACTACTGTACTGCCTCATTACTGAGAAGGCGGATGCTGCCAAAAAGAGATGTTAAGGACACCCAGCTGATCCACTAACTCCTGCAGAACGGTGCTTTAGTAGCGGAAGCGGGAGAGAGTAAAGGGGAGGCTGACACCCTGTGGGTCACGTGGCAAGGATTGCTCTTTCGGGCTGAAACTCAAGAGCGGTGATGCCTGTGGAATGAACACTGACAGGTTCCCCTCCCCCAAGAACAACCCCTAGTCTATGGGGAGCTTCAGCTCTCCGCCCAGAGCTGTGGTTCTGTAGCGGGAAGCAAGTCATGCGCATCAATTATCGGGAACTCTGTAATCCAGCTGGGATCCCAAACACACCGCTTAACCCCGGGGGATGTGACATACATAACTTCCAGCGCCCCGTGACCCTACAGCGCAGGGTAAGTAAACGGTGATCCTGGGGCCAGTGAACGCAACCCCAAACCAAGGCATGGTGGGCGATTTAACGTGCACTAAAGAAAAGGATGCCAATTCCAACAGAGCACACCCACTGCCCCCTCCCCGGGACACTCAGCACAGTATCCGACGCACCGGATCTCGGCTTCCACGGGGTTTAGAATAAAACCCAAACTCCTTACCACCGCCTCTAAGACCTTGCAGGATCTGACCAACCTCATCCACGCCCCCAGGCCACTAGTTTTCTTTTCGCGCCCCCAGGCCTGTGGCTCCGGCGCTCTCTGTTCCCTCTCCCTGGGTACTCCTTGCCCCGTGACCCGGCTGCGTGCTTCTCATTCAATTCAGATCTCAACGCCAGCGTCCCCTCCTCCTTCCTCCGAGGCCCTGGCCTTGGGAGTCAGGCCTCCCACACCACACGCCTGCAGACTGGAAAGTGCCCGTGGCGCTAGAAAGACCCAAAGGCCTTCAGTACTTTAACCGAAGTTTGTTGAATGCAAAAATGCCGAATCCCTCAAATCGACTCGTCCCCCGCCACCCCCCCCAAAAAAAACACCTGGGAGAAATTCACAGAGAAGACGTTTGCAGGCGATAGCACAGAATATCACCTCGAAACAAAGGCGTAAGGCGAACGGCGGCGCGAGGTGCCATCTGAAGAAGGCCCCCAGAAGACCCTTTGCAGATGGGGCGCGCGCTTCGGCCCAGCTGCCCGGGCGGGAGGCTGGAGGCGGGCGCGCTGCCTACCTTGAACTCGGCGGAAAGTTGGGGCGTGTACTCGCGCGTCCAGAGCGCGCGCACCAGCGCCGCCAGGTGCTCGGTGACCTCGGCGCGGCCCGGCGCCGCCCGATAGCGCCCCAGCGCCAGGAACTCGGCCAGTAGGTCGGTGTTGCTGAGACACTGCACCACGGCGTTCATGAAACAGGTGTTGCCGTGGTTCTTCAAGCCCTGCGCGCCCGGGGGCCGCGCGCCGTCGCCGGCGGGGGGCTGGGGCTGGGCGCCAGGCGGGCGCTCCTCCCCGGGGCTCCCGCGCGCGGCCGGGGCGGGGCCCGGCGCGCAGGCGAAGCCCCCCTCGCCGTCCCCGTCGCCATCGCGGGGTCCCGGCTGGGGCCGCGGCCGGGGCGGCGAGGCTCCCGGGCGGGAGCGGCTGCCCAGCGCCAGCAGGAAGCGGCTGAACAGGCGACGCAGGGAGCGGCGGCGACGGCGGCGGGGCCGGGGCGCGGGCGGCCCCTCTCCCGTCGCGGCCCCCGCGCCCGGGTCCATGGTTCCCGGCCCGCGCGCCCTCGGAGCCGAGCCTCCCCCAGCCGGGAGGCGGACACGCCGCTAACCGGCCCTGACGGCCCCGGAAAGGCGGCGGGTGCCGGCTACCTGCGGGCCAGGTGTGCCGGGACCGGGCGGAGGCGGAGCCAGGGGCGGAGCCGTCCCGCCCCGCGCGGGAATCCGGCCGCAGGGCCCGCCCAGGGCAGCGCCACCGCCCCCAGCCCGCCGGCCCCCGCCCAGCGGCGCCGCCCGCGAGCGGAGGCGCGGGACTCGGCGGCTCTGGGTCCCCAGCCTTCCTGACCTCTTACACACCGACGCCCCGAATTTCACTCCCACTCCCGCCAGCCTGCAAGCTGTGGAACAGTAGAGGGGTGATACATTTGAAAGCGCCTGGTGGATTGCCCAGCCCCGGCTAGCCTCAGCTTCTGGAAATTACAGGCAGATGAATATGAAGAACAGAGAGAGGAGGACTCTCCAAAGGGCAGCCTCTTGGCGCAGCGAGAGACGCGCACCGGCAGCTGGGGCCGGCTGGGGGAGTGCGCGGCGGGGTCCGCCCGCCTGCAGGAGCAGGTGTGTGCGGACAGGTGGCGCCACCTCCTTCCAGCCCGCCTGCCCCGTCCGGGAGTCCTTCCAGAACTGGGGGCCGCGTGTTGCCCTGGGACGAACCATCCGGGATGGCTGTGGTTTGCTTGTTTAAACTGCAGACCAGGTCAGAGTCGCTTCCCCAAAACTTGCGAGACTTCACCGTCCTCGCTTCAGCTGGAGGAGAAGCGGGCCCAGGGAGGTTCGCGCCTGTACCGAGGCCAAGAAACCGGAACTCGACCCGCCTCTGCGGACTGCCGAGCCCACAGGTTGGCTCTTTCCAACCTCGGTGTTTGCTTACCAGGAAGTTTTCCGGCTCTCAGGCGCGCCCCCCTGCGCAGGCCCCCTCACTGAATTGGTGCCCAATCAGAATTGGCTTGGCCTTGCCCCGCCCTTGGTTCCCCGGGTGACCCAGGGGGCCTCTGCTCACTTGACCCTGTAACTGTCAGGTTTATAATTAATCAGGCACAGTCTCGCAGAAGAATTTCTCATCAATGTCTGGCTCAAAAAAGACATCAGCAGGACGCATTGTTACATCAACGTCCTGAAATGTTACTTATTTGATAAGTGATCATTTATTAAAATGTCGGCCTTGATGTGTCAAATAGGGCCCCAGCAGGTGATCTAATGAAAAAAAAAAAATGAAGCATTACTTAAAGGCTAAAGAACAAGCTTAGAACAAAAAAGTGTACTGTGCATTGGAGACTTAAAGTGTTCTGGAAAATGCCATGATTTGCCCTCTCTGGAAAAAAAGACACCCGTCTGGATGATTAATACACAAGGGCCATTCCCTTGCCTTCCCTTGCCCAGAAAAGCATCTATGAAATTTCACCTTTGATGGTTACCCCAGGATCCCCAAGGACCCACGGTTTCTTTGAGAAAGCACCAAAATTCACGTTCAGTTGTCCACTCCGTCAGGGATTCTGCCGATGCTTTAACACATTATTTCACTTAATTCTCAAAATAACCTTTTATGCAGGTATTCTCGCTTTACAAAAGGCTAAACAGAGGCTCAGAGAGTTGGAAGGAAGGAAGGAAGGAAGGAAAGAAGGAAGATCCTAAAATCCTACCCAAGATCTGGACTCAAACCAAGTCTTGCCCCATTGCAGCTTGACCAATGAAAGGCTGATTAGGAACGTAAGCGGACCCTCCTTATTTTTAGAGAACAACAGTGCTGTCTGTGGACAAATTATGCAGAAAGGCCGTGGGTTTTGCCGTCATAGAGCAGAGATTAGGACAGGAAACCAACAACTGGGAATTTATTCATAATAAAAAAACTTTTAATTACAGTCTGGACAATTTGAACACATTCCCATTTTAATATACAATTTAAGAAGGTAAAATGCATCCTATGAAGAAAAGGAGAAACTTCAAGATAAAACTATTTTCACTCAAGGACAGAATCACGGATGTGAGAAATCAAAGCCAGTCTTAAGAGTTATCTAAGGTCAACCTTCAGCAGAGCCGTGGGCAGCGCTGCGGATTCCAGAAGTCTCCGCGGCCTCAGGAGGTAAAGGGGTACTTCCATCTCAAAATCGCTCCATCAGCACTTACACTAATGATGTACTGATTTCCTGGACTTATCCGGATGCGGGTGATGTTGCCGCTGTGTCCCACCCCGACATGAGTCACTTCACCCTCATTATAATCCCACACTTTGACCAGATGGTCATTTCCACCTGAAAAAGACAAGCAGGTGTACAGCATTGGTGCAACAGGATAGGGAGGAAGGGCCCTGATTTCAAGTAGCTGGCTGATTTTCAACACATTCCCCACATTCCCACATAAAGGGAGAAAAATCTATCTGCATAGGAACTCATTTCCTTGATTATAAAAACCCAGGTCTGTTGTAGTAGATTTGGGGGAAAGAAACACAAAGGGATGACATCCCTTTTAGCCCACCGCCCAGAAATAACCACTGAGAACACCTCCTTCCAGTCTTTTTGCTACAAGTATACAGGTTTACGTATGCACCTGTATGGGTGGGTGGCGGTCACGCCGCGCGTAGTTTTCTATCAAAGTAAATATGTTTGTGAAACTTTAATTCATTCAGAGCATTTATTTGTTAATGCCCTGAAGAATCAGGGCCTGGAAGGAAATGATCCCCGATGATGTTCCAGAAGGCATGTTGTATGGTCAATGCCCACCCCCTGGAAATGCTGATTTAAAAGCCTGGCATTTAAGATTTCCAGAGGAAATCACAGAGCAAGGCATGCCAGATAATCCAGACCATTTAAAGGCCCATTTCCATCATCAATGCCACCACCAAAAAAGGGAAGCAATGCAAGGCTTAGCTTTTCTGTGTGCCCCCAAGGCTCATGGGCAGGCCCTTCCTCCCACTGAAGCGTGACTTCTGGAACTTTCTTTTCCAGCCACACTGGCTACAGTGTTCGGGTCTGACTTTAACCATGGGGCCCTCTAGGCACTTCTGTTGTCACTTCCTGTTGCCTCCCGCCTTCTAGGGAATTCTAGGTTCCCATTTAAATAAGCAGGGCTGGGCTTCCTTTTCCCACCCCAGAACTCACCTGTGACAAAGTGCACTCCTTCCAGGGTGATATCCATTCCATTGATGGACCCAGACAAGGAACCTTCCAACTCTCTGATTACTGACCCATCAAAGATTTCCCAGTAAGCAATCTGGAATTCAGAAAAGCAGCATCCGGGAGGATTCAGCTCGGTGGAAGCCTCCGTGCGCAGGCGCATACTAACAAAAGATGGTTCTACTTTATATAGAAGGTGGCAAAAATACACCCCGGGAGGTTAGATGGGCTGAAATTATAAATAGGCTCGAGCAGGGGGTGGAGAAAGGCATTTTCATATTTTTAGTGTTGGTTTTTACATTGGCATTCTATTCAGGGAGATGGTGACTGTGCCAGTAGCCCGGATTGTGACAATAAGTGCTTTTGGTGAGACGAAGCACTTGGGAGTCCGAGGCAAGCTGTAAACAAAGGAAGAAAACAGCCACGGCATCCACGTTCCCACTTCAGCTCTTAGAGGAGGGCCTGGTGGAAGGGAAGCACCCACCCCCCCCCCCCCAGCTGCTGGGGGAATGAGCAGCCCAGAGAGTTCTGCAGGCTCAGGTCCCTGCGGCTGACCCCACGCTCTTCCCCACCTCACCCCATTTCCAACTTTCTCTTCGGCCTCAAAGCGGTGAAACACCCACCCCCCAGGTTGGGGGCTAGAGGCAAACTGATAATATGGTCCCCTCTTGGGTTAGGGGTGGGGGGTACGGGGGGAGTGCTCAAGGGAGGGAGATTTTTCTCTGAATATACTGCTTTTATACTCTTTGAACTTTGAATCTTGTAAATGAACAATCTATTCAAAAAGAAAAAAAATTTTTTAAGATTTTATTTAGCTATTTGACAGAGAAAGAGAGCGCATGCAGCAGGTAAAGGCAGAAGAAGCAGACCCACGCGGGGCAAGGAGCCCGCGACGTGGGGCTCTGGGGCTCAATCCCACGACCCTGGGATCATGACCTGAGCAGAAAGGCAGATGCTTAACCGACTGAACCACCCAGGTGCCCCAAGAAAATTTCTCTCCCAATAATGCACTTGACCAGGACTCAGGAGTGTGAACCTGGGCATGCATTTTGCTTCCTCTTATTTCGTGTTGATAGAAATTTGCTGTTCAAGTCATTATGCCAGGAATCTATATTCCTCTGAATCTAGCTAGAAATTGTGTATGCTATTTAAAAAAAATTTTTTTTAGCTAATTTGTTAATTTCTGTTGATGCCCAGTCACTTTCACAAAGAGTTGTTTTCATAGGAAAAGCATAAAGGAATAGAGACACACGCCCAAATCCTCATTTCTCGGGAATCACACCCACTTAGGCAGCTGGTGCTTGACTGCCTGCTCTCCTGGCCAAAGTCATAGTGACCCTCTTCTGGGCAGCCTGATGGCGCCTCGACTTTCCCTCAGGCTTATCCTCTGCTTGTGATGGTCTTCCCTGAGAGCTAAGCATAGCGAGGTCCTCCGCCACTCAGGCCTCAGCTCAGGTGTCACCTCCTTGAGGAGACCTGCCCCAACCATCCTAGCGAGAGCAGCTTCCGTCCACTGAGCCAGGATCTTGTGACCCATTCTGCTTCCTCTTTATCCCTTTGGCCATCTGATGTCATCTTGTTCACCTGTTAACCCACTGTTCATGGACGGGTTCACTTCCAAGTGCCTGTCCATTCCACCCCCTCCCGTCTGTGATAACTATGGAAAGTTGGCCAGCCCTTACGGTGGTTGTACCGATTCATGATTTATGCTTTGAGTATTCTGGCGACAACTCCCAGATGAGGACAGTAGACTGTTTCAAATCTCATAAGCTCATAAACCATTCCATTCCCTGGAATATGGGAAACGGGACACAAATCTAGACGTTTTATGAACCACGTTCTAAAGCATTTATGGTGATGTCATGACTAACTTCCTAATCC